CATTCAGCAAAAATGATTTTCATTAATTAAATTAGACGAAGTTTTATTATAAATATATATATATATATTTAATTATCAGTAAAAAAATCGCCATAAAACATGGTTATTACAATTTTATTTCTACACCAACTTCGATAGACGAAAGCATTAAAACAAAGTAATTTAATTTTTAATAATTAACTTTTACGAGTAAAAAATAATTGAAATAATTACACGAAATTAGATAATTGCTTCCATTCAGTAATTTCCAATTATCAGTCATAAAGATTTTATTACATTATTTATCGGGGATGCATTAAAAGTACGTGTTTAGTTAAGTTTTCAACGGGCAAACAAACAGTACGTGCGTACTCTTATCTACATAAAATGTTTAAAGGGGAATAAATTTACCTTTTAAAATAGCTCTAGCTTGGGATTTACCCTTTTCGTTAACGCTACTGCATCTGTAAACTCCGTAGTCTTTGCTCTGTACTGAAGTGATGTTGAGAGCCACGTGATAGCTGTAATCCTTCCACGTTTCTGTAATTTTATACTCGCTGCCACTTTCCAGTACGTGATTTCCGTCACGCATCCACATGGTCAGAGGTTTTGGGTATCCTTCTACCCAACAATGCAACACTGCTCCTTCGCCGATTGATGCGTAAACTGTCTTTGTCACTCTCACACGAGGTGGAACTGTTAATGCAAAATTATACCGTAAAATGAACACTTAATTACGTTAAAAATCCATATTTATCTTGAAATTTACTTACATATAACTTCCACTTGATATGTTTTGTAAGCTGGCATGGCTACACCGTTTGATGCCATGCACACGTAAGTACCAGCATCCCATCTTTTCACGTTTCTTAAGTGCAGTTGAGTGCCTCGAACGGATTTTACTAACAAATAATAATGATAAAATAAGTATAAATTAGCTGAAATTAATTATAATTAAATATATTTATTTATTTATTTATTTAAATTCTGCTTCGGTTTTCTTACGCAACAATACAGTCATTCTGTTGGAATAATACATATTATTACGTCAATTTGATGTCGTTTTCGTTACGAACGACGTAAAAATCGACACCATTTCGACAAAAATAGAAATAAATGAAATTTATATTATTACGTCAAGTGTAACCTATGGTATATTATTACGCCAATGGTTCGCTACGTAACGATTCGTTTATAATGTGGAAGTGATTTTTTTTTGTAATAAAGTAATGAAATATTGTGAAATGTGACGTTGAGTGAAATATTGTTTTATTGAGTTGTAGTCATTGTTTAGCTCTAAAATTTAAATTTTCCTTATTTTTCTTACAGTTTTCTTATGCTTCTGTTGTTTTGTAGATTTATAAATCATTCTAGAATCATAATCTAGAAATATTCTAGGAGTTTTAGCTTCAAAAATTGAAGAATTCTAGTGTAGTCTATCTAGAATCTTAAGACAGAAACTTTAGGTATAGTAACAAAAGTAAAAAATGGTAAAGAATGTAACAATTTACATGTTAAAATCTCACTTATCTCAATCTCTATATTGAAGAATATTAAGTTAGAAGGTTTATATTATCTAGAATATTTAACAGTGTATTGTTATTCTCTATAACTATAAGCAAAGCTCAGAATTTGTATCACTTGAAGAGTAAAAAATAAATAAAATCATTCTAGATATTATTGATAGTGAATTTGAGANTTTGATTTTCTTAAAACTATTTTAATAATTTATTCTTGTTGAAAATTAGATAAGAAATTCAGCTTATATGTATTTTAACGATTGCTGCGAATATAAATTTTAAAATGATGTTGAACAATGTTTTAAATCAATGAGATATCAATATTTATTGAGTTTGTGGATGCTCCTCAAGTAAATTTTTGTGAAATAAAATTGAAAACTACCCAATGAAAGTACGAAACGTCTGTATTTACGAGAAAAAACTTAGCTTAAAGTTTTATGATGGTTTCCCTCAACGAGAAAGTAAGATTGAAACAGGGTTATATTGCCACTTTAAAGCCTGCTTTTCTTGGTCTAAATAGCATTTTCAATTTACTTTTTTTTCATATTTCTCAATAAATATATATTAAATATCATATTATGTGAAAAAATCACGATTTTTTCATCTTTATTAAAGTGCAAAAGAAATCAATCTTGATGCTGTGAGAATTCAACTCAAGTTCTACTCGGTTCTGGTTAGAGAAATATTTGAAAATAACTTTAAAATAGCCAAAATTTTTAATATAATTCATTATTTTAATTATAAACTACGAAGAACATAAATTAAAATTGAATTTCAAAATGGCCGCTTTCAAGTCGCCATTTTGAGTTCGTGTACTTTGAAGATAATTAAGTATTTTTAAATATAGCTCAAGATATTTGATATTTTTGTGATTGATATCATTAAAATATGATCTAAATAAATCAAGATGTCCTCTTTCATTAATAATTTACTATTGTTGCGTATCATCAAGCACGAACAAAAAGGCTATTTTTTATATGAAAAATTCAAGAAATTTATTGGCATATGAGATTTAAAATTATAATATTTTATATGCCAATAAATTTCAGATAATTTATTACAAATTTATATCGAGTAGCCATTTTTTGAGTTCTTTGTAAAGAAATTCAAAAATAACAATTTCAACGTAAACGTAAGCATCTTTCTTCTCTAGAAGAGAGCAAAGATAAATTCAATTTGCCCAATTCTTTAATTATTTCCTACTCAACCCTCTCATCTCATCAATTTTATCTCTAATAATAAATTATTTATATATATAATATGTATTTTCCTTTGATTTATTGAGAGCAAATACTAGTTTGGAACTATATAACGGTTATTCGATTAACCATTACAGCTTCCATTGCATATTTTATATTAAATATGGCTTATTCATCTAAATGATTTAAAAGTTATATAAAATAAATGTTTATCAAGCAATTCCTAAAGAAAGTAAGAAAAATTCTATTCATTTTGGTTGATTTTCGGTATCACTACTATCAGAGCAGCAATGTTTGGACAACCAGTAGATGATTGAACAGGTCACAAGTTAATCTACGTTGATGCATTCCACATCAATAGCATCTGATCTCTCGTCATCCCACATTAAGGAGGCCAAAATCAAGTAGAGAAGATCGATTTATCTGTGCAGTTAATGCTATTATAACAATTGTTAACATGGAAGAAAATAAAAAAAAAATTTAACTTTAGCGTCATTTTACAATCGATATTTTATAAAATTTCAAATTAAAATAGTTTAAAAAACAAGTAAAATCGATCGATTTATCTGTGCAGTTAATGCTATTATAACAATTGTTAACATGGAAGAAAATTTAAAAAAATTTAACTTTAGCGTCATTTTACAATCGATATTTTATAAAATTTCAAATTAAAATAGTTTAAAAAACAAGTAAAATCTATCATCTAGGGATTGTAAATTCAAAAGGAAAGGTTATCATTAAAAAAACACTACATTTATTGATTGCAAAATGACAAACTTCACTCGAATATACCAAACAGAATGATTGATAGAATTAAAAAATTGCATGATCGATTTAATGCAGGATGTTTGCATCAATCTATCATTGAAAATTATTTTTCAAGAATTTAATTTTTCGCATATTAAAAAAAATAAAATTCAACTCTCCAAAAATATCAAATACATACATTAAAAAAAGCACAGAAAGTCAGTAGAATTCTATATTATTTATTTGATTATCGCGTGTTAAACTAATTCAAACGTTGTTCATATATTATCTAAGATCGAGTGAATTGTCTAGGATAATGTATGATATCATTCGGCAGATTTAATTTACTTAAAGATAAAGAAAAAATTGTATGAATTTAATGCAATAATGTTATCATTTCGGTTGTAAATATCGATTTAAAGTGAAAACTTTTGAGTTTAGAGTAAATTTTAATAATCACAATTCTTCAGGGAAATAAAGATAATAGAGATGAAAGGATACGGAGGAAGAGAATTTGGAGAATGAGACAATTTAGAGCATCAAACATTCGTTTCCTTTATAAAACATGGAACTGTTTCCTTGTTTGATATCATTTTATCTCTGTCAGACACAATTACATTTAGTTTTAAAGAAGAAACAAAGGATGGATTAACAAGAAAATGTAGCAGAGATAGAAAGGAAGATGCTAAAATAATAGAAAAAATAAGGGCAGGAAGAATGAAACAGGGTGTTTTTTCTCATACTTTATCTCCTTCTTCAACTATTCTACGTAGCTTTAAGCATGCTTCTATCTATCTAGTCGATGAAAGCGATAAATGATTCAATAGGTAGAGAAGAGTAAATATTTTAAAACCAACGGAAATAACCTTGCAAAGGGAAATTCTATCTTTAGTATAATCTACCATTTGATTCGGGATAATAAAAGTAATTTTAAGATTAAAGTACCACATTTTGAAACTTGAAAGATTCATGAGACGTTGAAGAAAGTCACGCTTCTTCATTTCATTTGAAAAATAATTGATAATCTTGACTTATTTTTACTTAAAAGTCGTGAAAAATTTAAGAACTCTTCTTGAATGTTGGAAAAAGTTGATATTTTTTGAAATAATTTCGTTGGAATTTACAAAAAATTATAATTATTCTCCAATAAATATTAGAAATTTCCTACGAAAATTTTAATATAAAAGAAATTACTATTTAAAAATGGCAAAAAATTGCAATTGTGATTTTTAAAATTTAGTTTTAATTTTTAATGAAAATTAAAAATTTCATTGATAATTTTAAAATTCTTCGTTAAGTTCATATAAANAATTAGAGAAAATAAAGAAAATGAATTTGTGTCAATTAAATTGTTTTATTTTAAAGAAATAAAGATAGGTGGTTCTCTGCGATATATGTACGATTTAATTTAAATGTAGGCTTTTCCTATTCTATTCGTTTATGAGTTGATTTAAAGATAAGTATTGAAATAACCAATCCGTTTCAAGTTAACAATGCGAAATATACAACAAAATATTGTACATTTCAACAGCTATTTAACGAACGATTGTTGAAACGTACAATTTATTATTATTATTATTATTACATCTTACATAAGTCGCGGAGGACTGCTTATATTTAAACGAGATTTTGAGTTGATTTTCCAATTCTAACGTCTCTCTAAATTATTATATTAATTAGAAATAATTATTAACATTATCTAGAGATTAATTAGAGTTTAGAACATCAGTATTTAAAGCATTTTCGAGCTTTAATATTTAGATAAGCTGAATCACTTTTTGTGTTATTAAAGAATTTTACAAAACTTAACATAAATTCAAACTAAAACATTTCAAAAGTAATTTAATGTAAAAATTATCTGATTATTTATTAGGATAATGATGCAAATATACTTGATTTATTCATTTAGATATAAATCTTAATGCACTCGTTATTCATTAAGATACATTCTCCATTTGTAACTCATTAGGGCACATTCTCCATGTTAGAAATTTGTTTCCTTTGATACTATTTAGATTTAAAATAAAAACTTTGAAGAGTTAATATACATATTTGAAAAATAAGATCTACTAATGGACTCTAATGGAGACTTAAGATTAAATAAAATTAGAAAATTGCATTACTTTCTTGTAAAGATGTTTGTTATAAATAAATGAAGTAGCATAACGTTTCTTGTATATTTATAGATAATGGTAGTTCCTTGTAAGAGAAAACTTGAATATTTTTATCCTGATTTTTCATATTTTAGAGTATGTAAAGATATTTTACTTGTATATTGATTTTCTATCTACATATACAGTGGAACTTCGATTTAGTGCCATCGTTTATTCGTCTCTGAAATTGGCATTAAATTGAGTGTGGCGCTAAACCGAAGAAATTTAAACAATAAAAGTAATGTATATTAATGAATTCTACACGCATGTTTGAGTTTGAGTGTTTGAAAATCCGCGTGATTTGGTAATGACATCGTCATTTGCAATGCAAAATCTGTACATTTAGTAATTCTCAGATGCTGTTTAATATTCATGGAGGAACTACGTTTGTAAGTATTTATTGTCTGTTCGCGAGGGTGACGCTGATAGGAAAACACTATATCGAGGTTTTCGGCTAAATTAGATAAAAAATACATAAAAAATTAATTTTGAGTCGTTCTGCAGTTGTTTTTTAAGAGTAGTGGTATTGTTTTGGGTTTGGCTTTTTCGGTTTCGCTAGTTTGTTTCTCTTATCTTAATTCATTCAGCACTCTACTCTCTTTTCAATATTTCCACATTTTTCTTTCCTAAGCAGACTTTCAATATTTATCTGTTTTTAAACCTCTTCTTTAGCCTGTTCTCTTCTGCTTCCTACTTAGCCTACCTTCTTCCTTATGCTCTTTCTACTTAACCTATCCTTTCTCTACTTAGCTTGTCCTCTTCATATCTTTCTTATCCTTGATATATATATTGTTTCTTATCCTCCTTCTCCCAGTATCCTTCTCTTCCTTATCTCGCTTCTTTTCAACATCCTTCTCTTTTATTATTATTTTTTCTTGGAAAAATAATAAGGAAGAGAAGGATACTGATGATAAACCAAAGAAAGTTAAATATTGTTTTAATCAGTTTATAATACACGAATTTCCTTTATACCAATCTCGATTTACGAATGCTTTATAGTTCGAATTTATGTCGATTTTTAATTATAATAAAAATGATAATTTCAATCCAAAATAAATTACATTAAAACTCTAAAACGTATACTTTATGCAGAGTTTACAGCTTTATTATAAGTTATATAATTTATTAAATTAAATTTAAATAAAATAATTCTTCTTAAAATTAGAAGCAGTAACTTACAATGAGGGGAGTGAAACCTTTCAGAATCACCTCTGCTCCACGTGATATCAGGTTTGGGTACACCATCAGCTGTACAGGTTAATGTAAGATGATTACCTTCTTCTACAACGTAGAACTCTTCGTTATTTATGATGCTCGGAGCAACTATACCAAATAATAAAGCCAATTAATATAGCAATAAAGTTATATAAATCTTTAAAAAGTCATTTTTATCACCGCAAACTCACGTGTCGAGGTCAGATTCTCGTAAATTTATCCTATAGTTCCTTAACGATAAATGCCATAGAAAATTTGAACGAAGGTATGAATTATAATTAAACAAATATAATAAATTAGTAAAAATGTGAATATTCTGAAGCAGTTTAAATATTTGAAAACGGCATTTAAAGCTCTATTGGCTTATATTAAAAAGGAGAAAAATATTAGAAAAATTGACAGCGATATGTCGCTGGTTCATTCATAAAAGTAAACAGAATAGTTCTAGAGTTTAGTAAATAGAAAACTTCTTGTACTGTTTACACAAATCTACAATATACTTCTTCAATTTACTGAAACGAAATCGATCGTAACGTCTTTCATCATTCAGCAATACAAAAGCATTAGAATCAGGGAAGTAACAAGTCGAAACTTTTCAGAATTTCTAATTAAATATTTAATTTCACTAAAATCTTTGATAAGAATTGAAGATCAATGAAGAATTGAAATATAATTTTTTCTTTTGATGTGGAATGGCAATTTTGCAAACCAAGATTGAACAATAAGTTTTGCTGACTCGTCCCATCCAGCATCCTTCTCTTCTTTATTTTTTTCTTCTCTTTCCTTTCTTAACTTGGAAATATTTTAATAACTTGAATATTTAATAAATATTCGTGACTTTTACTATTTTTTCCCTTCCTCTTTTCATTTTTATGTCATTAAAAATAATTTTTTTTGTAAGTTACTTCATTTAAATTTTAATTATGATTAATTAGATTGATAATAATCGAGTTTTTTGAAGTATTGAATAATTTTTGGGAGGAGGGAAAAACTGATTGAAAAATCAATTTCTTTTTTTTATTTTCAGTAAAAATTTTAAAATTAATTATATGTATTTATGTATTAAATTTTATTTTCGAGAAAACTTTTATTAAATTATCTTAAGTTTTTTTTTTCTTCTAACGAAACTAATTTTAATACATTAGTTATCCCATTAACTGTATCTTTAATGTAAATTCCTATACTGTTTAATCCACAGGAATGTATAACTATAACTCATGCCTTTGTATTGGAGTCTATGTAAAATAGAAGTGGCATGCTTAAGTGCTAAGGATTTTATATGTCTACTTAATTAAAGTACTAATGTGTACGTATACGAAGCATAGAACTTGAATATACATTCTTATGTGCCTACATTTATGGTGGCTGCATAAATATGTATGGTTATATAGATGCATAGGAATATATATTACATTATAATGTCTATAATATCTGTCTTTTAAGGCTTTACATACTTATGCTAAGATATTTTACATGCAAATATTAAATTACGTATATGCTTATACTATAAACTTCTATAGCCTGCTTTAGAGCGTCATTATATAATATAGGAATTAATATTCCTTATTTTTAGGGTAAATATAGAACATATTTTTAGAACTAAACAGGCGTAAACTGCATAGTATGGGAACTAAATAGATGCCGGCACAGGAGGAGGAATATTGGTATAATGAAGTCACAATAATTCAGAAATTGTATTTTGAAAAATTGCGTGTAATGCTCTAGAAAACTGTTGACCAAGTTTCAAAAATTTTGCTTTGTACTCAAAGAAAAAATTGTACGTGATACTTTAGAAGAGGCCAACGTCCTTGAAAATCATGTATTATATATCCTAAGGTATGACACGATACTTCAGAAAATAAGTTTATTTTTACATATATATACAAAAGTAAACTTACAAACTTTATTTTAGGTAATATAACAAATAATTCTTGAGTATTATCATTAATTTTCCCACATTTAAGATCGTATTAACATATAAAATTATTATATTAGACAGCTAGAAAAGTGATTCCTAGGAGAGATATAGAGAATAATACATACCTAATAGTATCTCAGACTTTTAAACTACTAAAATTATATATAATTTTAGAATTTTTACTTCTTAATCTTGAGTAAAAACGTTAAACTAATTCAAACAGTAATTGCAAAAATTCATCGTGGATGTCTCAATTCCTACACTCGTGAGATGTCAATAACTAGAGATTATGAAGAAACTACGCAAAAATCTTGTTTATTATATTCTAAAAGTGATATAAAATATCAAACTCGAGCATTTTATTCGATAAAAAATGCTAAAAAACATAAAAAATTATAGCTAATTCAGAGAAAGGACATCAAAGGATTATTTCAGAAAGATAACATTTATAAATATTCTTAAATTATAATTAAAAGTTAAAATTATATTAAAGAAGCTTAAAAATTAAAAATAAATTTTAAAATATTTTCTTTTATTATTATCAAAAAGCACAAACTTTAAGAAACAAACTTGATAGATTATTAGGAGAAAAAATTAAGTTATTGTAATTCGATACATCATCACTAATTAGGATTAGAATTTAATGAGAGTTAAGTAGATAATTCTCTTATTAAATGTAGCTCTTAATTAATCCTTCAAATTAAATGAATTGTTATATTAAATTTTAGTTTATTAAATCTTGCCCATACTTAATTAACGAAGAAAAATATATCTTAAATCGTTTTTATATTTATAAAGAATAAAATACGTATATGTATCTTAAAACTTATAATTTTATTTATATATATTTAAAATTTTAAGCTTCTAACTTTAATTTATCAGCGAATCTGTGAATACTGCAAAGCGCGCATTATACTCGAGAACCGAGCTTAAAATTCGAATAAAACTTAAATTTGTTTCTCAATTAATATTTTTCTTATTTTAAAAGCTAAAAGCATTTAAAATCTTTAAACAAACAAGTTAATCCCTTATTAATTACGATTGTTGACAATGTGATCCTTCGTCGTACAGTTAATTTTGATCAATCCAATTATACCTCATTGAAGTGAGATTTAAATACCGAACGAATTAAAATTTTATTTCTCAGAATTTTTTAATTCTAGAAAAAATGACGAAAGAAGAATCGATTTACAGATTAAAATATTAAAGAAAATCGATTATTAAAATTATATTATCGATTTTTGATCGGAAAATTGTAGGAAATCGAAACTGTTTTAATTCATATTAAACAGGATTTTGGATTTAAAAAAATAAAATAAAATCGATCTGAAAGAATTCCCAATTGATTAAAAGATTAAAAATCGCAGATTTTAAGATTTGTAAATTTATATATAAAGCGATCGATAGTGATATAAAAAATGTTCTAGAGAATATTTGATACGAGTTTGCAAAGAATCTATCATCGACTTTTTGATTAGAAAATGGAAATACTTTAGAGAATCCTTCGTGAGATTAAAAATCATATCGAACGATTTAAGAAAAAAAAATACATAAAATATTTATATCTGATTTTCATAAGCTTAAAAACTCACCAAATTCAGATATATACGAATTTTAAGAATAATTTCGACTTTATAACAGATAGAAATCGCTTTAAAATTACACATTAAATTTCCTGATTTTTTAAAAAATTAAATTAAAGTTACAGGAACAATATAAGATATAACAATTAAAGCTTATAACTTTATCTACGTACCTTTAAAATTTCAAGCTTCTAACTGTGATTTATAATAAAATATATGAAGGCTGCAAAGTGCGCATTATATTCGAGTGAAGAGTTTCAAATTAAAACAAAACTTTCAATTTATTATTATACATTTTAAACTTTTTAAAAAAATTTAAATATATAAAATAAATCTAAATTATAGGATAAATTATTATAAAATTTTTATGAGTTTAATATTAAAAGAGAAAACTTTAAAAATTTAGCCAATGATTAAATTATACAAGGATTTTTAAGATGTACTTTATGCTTTTAACTCTTGTAAATATTTAAATATGATAAAAAGTAAAGAAGAATTATTTTGTTTCTAAATTAAATGCAGTATAATATTTTATAAAAAATAAAATTATGAAATAAAAAGCCAAAGCTTAAAAACTACGAATGATTATTCATTTTGTAGAATGAACAAGATCGAGAGTCTCTTACAAAATAGTAAATAAAATATGACTTTATCTATTTTTGTTTTATTTTTTTACAGTATATTTTCTTAAATGTTTAAACAACAAAATTGCTAGAGAACTAAATTTACTTTTTAAGCTAATATTCTCCTTCATTCTATGGTGGCATAACTTTTACTATTTCATTCGAATACAGTAAATAAAATTACAATTACAATTTTATTTATCATGAAATTATATTAAAATTATAAAAGTACTAAAAAATAAACTTTTTTTTGCGTATATTTTTGCAAATTTCGTTGAAAAAAGTATGATTTTTCTCGATAAACTGCGTCAAGTGAATGAAAACAGGTTTAAAATCCCGTTTCAATAAAAAAAATACATCGCTTCATCTACTCCTTAAAAAATAATATAAATTTAGCTCCATAAGAAAATTAAATATTTTATTATTATATTTCATCTTCCAGACGCGATCTTTCACGAAAATCATTCATTTTTCGGTGAAATTTACAAAAATATATACAAAATAAGATTTATTTATTAATATTTTCATTATACTCCTATATAGGAAAATTCATATTCTGTAGGCTATATTTGGGTTTAAATTTCGGCTGAAAACATACTTTTAAACACAGAAAATCTCAACAAATTTATAATTTTTAAATAGAAAAATCACTTTTGATTTTCTTAAAACTATTTTAATAATTTATTCTTGTTGAAAATTAGATAAGAAATTCAGCTTATATGTATTTTAACGATTGCTGCGAATATAAATTTTAAAATGATGTTGAACAATGTTTTAAATCAATGAGATATCAATATTTATTGAGTTTGTGGATGCTCCTCAAGTAAATTTTTGTGAAATAAAATTGAAAACTACCCAATGAAAGTACGAAACGTCTGTATTTACGAGAAAAAACTTAGCTTAAAGTTTTATGATGGTTTCCCTCAACGAGAAAGTAAGATTGAAACAGGGTTATATTGCCACTTTAAAGCCTGCTTTTCTTGG